GCGTTCGCCGTTTTACAGCTTGCGATGAAATGTTTAGGTGAGAACAGGGGTCATAGAATTGAATGGGATTTCTTGTGTTGAGTTTTGTAGCTCTTATCTTTTGAATGTCAAAACGCCCAGGTGTGAGCGGGGCCTAAGGGTTTTGTGCGGATTCTTTTTACGTGTTAAAAGGTGCACAAAATGAATGCGCTGACTCAACATACAAAACGTTCTGCGTTAATGCATGCGTGTTGAAGCGATGCATAGTGCAAATAAGGGCTCAGTCACACTAGATGGTGCGTTCCGTCCCGATTTTGCCCAGAACGCACTGCCTCGCATTGCGGTCGGCTCACTTTTTACTGGGGCAGGAGGGGGCGTGGCGGGCAATTCAAGAATGGAGCCGTAACCACGCCCTCCAGCCGCAATGCGATCCGCCGCATGGGATCGCGAGGCACATTGTGCCTGCGGTCCGGTGCAATCAAAATGCTCACTAAAAAGTGAGCCAGCCGCAATGCGAGGCAGTGCGTTCTGGCCAAAATCGGGCCGGAACGCACTGCATCTAGTGTGACTGAGCCCTAAGCCCTCCACGATTCAAAATCACCCACAATGTTGCAGAAACTGAAATCATTCTTGTGTCAAAGTGGTCATAGTACAAGTGTGTGTAATGAACCTTCAACATGACCCCCTCTATAAAAGGTGGCCATACACTCTACAACCATCGCAAGACTTTAGTCTTGCGATGGTTGTAAAGGGATTAAAAAAACGTACGATCTGCCTATCTTGGACAGGCAGATCGCACTCTCGATCATCGCAAGCCCGCCCCCCTGAGGGGCGGGCTTCCGATGACCGCAATGCTGAACGGGCAGTGTGCGCGTGCGCACACCGGCCCGTTCAGCATTTATCTTCCGAGCACCGTTCTAACCAGCCGAGAATCGTACGATTCCCGGCTGGTTTTCGAACATGCTGGTTCGACAGAAGACGTGCGACCGTACAGTAGAAACGGTCGCACGTCTCCGTTCACACTGCTCGATTATCGTACGAAAAACCGATCGCATACGATTATCGTACGATAATCGTGCAGTGTATGGGCACCTTAAGGCACACAACCCTCTGCAGCTGACCTCCTCTCCACTCTTATAATTACAATCACCTGAATTTACCACGTTGAAAGAGGCAACTGAGTCCAGGTGATTTCAAATCAGAAAGCTTCAAAGATTAAGGCTGGGCTCACACCATTTTCTGGAACATAGTGCATTGCGTTTTTACCACGATTGGAATAAAAAAAAATAATAATTTTTGCTTAAAATGAACTTACATGTGCGTGCCTTGCTTTTTTTATGCATTCCAGACCAGACAAAATAGGACAAGCAATATTTTTCTGGTCTGGAACGGACTGCGGTGGTGGGAACAGGAGGCCAAGAATACCATAGGGATTGGGATGCATTTTGGGTCTGGAAACAGTCTGGTAGTAATCTGGAAGTGGTGTGAATGGGCCCTAAGGGTACATTCACACCATATGCAGTGCGTTCCTGCCCGATTCCAGCCGGAACGCACTGCATCGCATTGCGGCCGGCTCACTATTTTGTGGGGCTGGAGGAGGCATGGCGGGCCATTGAGGTGAATGGCACCGTAGCCACGCCCTCCGGCCGCGATGCGATTGCCCGCACGGGATCGCAGGGCACATGGTGCGAGCGTACCCTTAATGTGTTACAGTGAGAATAAACCCCAACGTATGTCAATAAAAATCAAGGCAATGGGACTTCTCTTATCCATATGCTTTCCTACTCTGGAAATTGTATCTGACATTGCATCCAGCGGGTATTAACACTGGAGTCTACATAATATATACACTTGGATATCAAGCATTCAGGATGAAAATGTGGTTGTATGATGTATTGCTGTAGGTGTCCAATCCCTATATAGTTACTGATCTCACCTTCCACAGGATTCACAAACCCAGCATGGTAAATCATACAAGAATCTGTCAGGCTAAAGCCAGGTACGCATGGATCGAATTTATGAGGAAATTATAAAATTAGTAAACTAAAAATGTGAGATTGTAGTCCCATCACAGGAGTAAGCTTGGAACAGTGGCTACTTTACAACACACACAGGCACCATGGGGGACAAAAGTAGCCACCCTCCAGAAGGAAGGACAGTGTCAGCACCAATTCAGAGATGATTTGAGGATCTACAGCCGAGTGATACACAAATAAGATACATTTTTGTTAATGGGTAAAGGTATTACAATGTATTTTTTAAATTTAACGCCGGAGTTTAGGGTCACTCAGTAATCACAAAGGATAAAATCTCTTACATATCAGGCTGCTTGTACATAAAACAGAAGATACAGCTGACTCAATTCTTTTACTGAGTGACAGTGACATAAAATGCATAGTTGTACAGTGCAGACATGCATGTTTATGCCCCAGGCAGACACAAGCCAGACCCCTCCTGGATGATTGGTTTCCTCCTAGAGATAGGCTGGCCTGAAAGGTCTCCTCAGAAACTGGAGATGGGGCCTGTAGACACAAGAATTCCAAGACAACCATCAAATTGGGAGTAGAAGACCATCTTTCATCAGGTTAGATGGCCAGCCCATAAACACAAGAAAAAAAAAAGTAAACAAACAGCATATTTAATAAGTTTGAATTCCATTTCCTGTAGACATGTGGAAAGTCATGGAGGTGAAATATGACAAGTCACTCCCTATCGCAGGATACAATCTCCACCTATTCATGAGTAAGGTTTTATCTACCCATGTGTGAACTACTTTCACCACATCTGCAGATGAAATCATTATTTATAGTGCTAGGCAAGCTCAGCACTCCAGCTGTTGGACATACAAATCCCATGAGGCATTGCAAGAATCTAACAACCACAGGCATGACTCCCAGAGGCAGAGGCATAATGGGATCTGTAGTTTCATCACAGCTGGCATGCTGAGCTTACCTACCCCCGATTTACAGCATGGTAGTAGGAGCATTCTATAAAAGAAGCTGCCATGACACACAGCTTCCACATCCTATCCAGCTTTATATATGGTTAATGTTTGAAATATAACTAATATACAGATCTGAAACAGCAGTCAGGACGAATATCTGTAAATTGTAAACATGTGGTGCCTGGTATGACACCCCCCACCCGCCATTATCATTCCAACAAGGACACAGCGATACGGCTTCACTAACGAGAACCATATTACACACTGGTGCCCTCCAAATACCTTTGTAAAACAGCAAACCTCCCGCTTTACCAAACAGAGAAACACAAGTCTGAAACATTGGATTTATTAACACAAACAAATTAATTCTCCAGAGCTGCCCATTGTATGCAAGAGAGATGCACACCAGAGACAAAACACTCCACAAAAGGGCAGCGTTTCTTAATAACAGCCAATCAGAACTCAATCAGTAAGACTACATGGTCTTTAAAAACCGATTCCTGATTGGTCGCTGTGAGTTATCACAGCTTGTTGTACTTAATAAGCAGCGCAGAGTGCATTGTTGCCAAGTGATAACACCCAATCAGAATTCCAGTTGTATTAGTACAGTTACATGGTCTTTAAAAACGGATTTCTAATTGGTTGCTATAAGGCCAGGATCACACCTAGGAGTTTTTTGAGCAGTTCGAAAAGCGCTTTTAACTGCCCAACACAAGAAATCCCATCATTTTCAATGGCCATGGTTCACACCTGAGCAGAAAAACGCCAAACGCCCGAAAAAGGTACAGGAGCTTCTTTAGGTAGTTTTTGCCCCATAGACTTCATTGGAAATGTCCAAAAATGTGCAACAGAAACATGTTGTACATTTTCGTGAGCATTTTTGCGTGCTTTCTTCCATTGCCCACAATGGTTTGTAAGCTGCCAATCAAAATGCCTGCCTTCATTTATGCACATTAAAACACATACAAATGTGCAAATAACCGCATGCTGTGGGGATCAGGCAAGTAAAATTCCTTTATTTAGCTCCCCTAGATAGACAAGTTAACTCTTGCAGAGCAGGGGTAGCCCCATTGCAAGGGGAGTTTATTTTAACTGCTTGTTAATGTCTAGTGGACCTATGTAAAGGACTTTTACTTGATCCCCGCTCCCACAGGCTCACTCCAAGTCTTTTCTAATAGTCAGGGGCCCACCGACAGCATCGCATCTAATGCAGGCTGTATAGCTCTGTAATATATGCAACGCCGCTGTTCTACCGAAAGCTCCAACTCGTCGAAATCTCCAACCACCTCACTGTCGGGTACTTGCAAGTTGGAGATTTCGACCAGACGGCGTTAAGACTGCAAAACACAAAGACTGACGGAGCGCTGTACAGGTGCATTTTAACAATATTCAGCAGGTGGCAAAGTCGACGAGTAATCTAAAAACGCTATGCGCGCATGCGCAACGCAACTGTACAGAGCTTCAGTCTTTGAGCATCGGAAGTGAGGTAGTTGGTGATCTCGATGAGTTGGAGCTTTCAATAGAACACCGCCAAGGAACAGTCCACAAGCCGGAGCGTAGGGGTGAAAAGCGAGCGCCAACCGCCTCAGAAGTGGGGATCAGGTAAATAATAGTCCTTTACACAATCCTGTTAGACATAAGGGAACAATTACCCTTGCAGAGCGAGGGTAGCCCCACTTCAAGGGGAGTTATTTTATTAGCTTTAAAATTAAACTAATAATGCTACACAGTGTTTGTAAAACACACATCTCATCCTTGACCGCATGCATTTTATTGCAATGGTGGACTGACCCTTTGAAAAAGCCCCAGCACTCGGTGGAATAGTACAAAGTCAATGCAATGAGCAAAGTGCAATACAAAGACAATTCAGTGAGCAAAGTGCAATACAAAGACAATGCAGTGAGCAAAGTGCAATACAAAGACAATGCAGTGAGCAAAGTGCAATACAGTCTCTTCCTATAAAGAACATGAAATCCTTGCTCAGATGTAGTGTGTCGAAGCCTCGTTACACGGCAATTAGGGAGCAGAGACTAGGCTTGGAGGAGGAAAGCGGATTCCCTCAGTCAGCTCTGCTTACCTCTGAAGGTGATGGTGACTATGGGGTCCGGCTTGCCAAGTTTAGTCTTCGGAATATTGGCGGCTGCCTCCACCAGGACCTTCAGCATGGCTGCAGAGTTCAGTCGGGACCCGCACAAGACGATGTTGTGACTGGCAGACGGAGCACAGGAGCTTCCTGAGCCTGGGGAGCTGAGGCACTGAGGGGAGTGGGGAAGCAGCTGCACAAAACGGATTGTTAAAAGAGAAGCTGGGTGGATCTGAGATTAGTCACCGGCTGCCTCAGCCCACAAATACCTGGAGAGTGGATGGGACTGGTGTTCAGGTCTCAGCCTGTGTGCTTCCTATAATGAGGGGAATGCATGAAAACTGGAGCACACAGGATCTGGAGCACTTGCCCATGCCAACCAGACAGCTTCTGTTTTCATTTCCAAAGCTTAATTGAAGAGAGAAGCTGGTTACTATGGGCAAATCTCACCCCCAGTTATCTACTGATTGCAGCCTGCAAAGTACACTCACAGGTTGTACAAAGGGATGTTTAGGAGTAGAGAAAGGGTTACAGTGACACTAAACTCAGGAGGTGAATCTTAAAAGTGCATTCACTATTAACAACAAGGGGGGAATTTATCAAAACTGGAGCAGACGAATCTGGAGCAGTTGCCTATGGTTTGAAAATGAAAGGTGGATGCTGACTGCCATGGGCAACTGCTCCAGATTCTGTCTGCTCAAGTATTGATAATTTTGCTATCAATGTATCTTATTTCGGCATCACTCAGCTGTAGATCCTAAATCATCTCTGAATTGGTGCTGACGCTGTCTTTCCTTCTGCAGGGTGGCTACTTTTGTTCCCCATGGTCCCTGTATGTGTTGTAAAGCAGTCACCACTCCAAGCTCGCTCCCATGATGGACTACAATTTCATGTTTAGTTTACCAAGGCCAGATTCATCACAAGGCGATCCGTGACCACACGGCAATCGTTCACGAAACCGCGAAGAGGGTCACGCGGTCACATAATCGCTAACCACCGCCAATCACGCTGGCGGTGCCATTATTTTCTTAGGGCACCCCAGCCACGCCAGGCAGATTGTGTAGTTTTCCGCTGTGATACCGCCTGTGTTATTGCGGTTCAAAAACACACGCGGTGCGTGTAACCAAAAAAAAAAAAGTACATGCACCTTTTTTCAGCGATTGTCGTGCAACCCCATTGAAATTAACGGGGCCGTGCTGCAATCGCTGTGTGCCATTGTGCACGGTTGCCGATATGTGAACCTAGCCTAACATGTATTTAGATTGAAGTCCATCACAGGAGCAAGCTTGGAGCGGTGACTACTTTACAACACACACAGGGACCTTAGGGAACAAAAGTAGCCCCACTCCAGAAGGAAGGACAGTGTCAGCACCAATTCAGAGATGATTTGAGGATCTACAGCCAAGTGATAAACAAATAAGATACATTTTTGTTAATAGTTAAAATACTTGAATGCACTTTGAAGGCTTGTTCACACCGAAAGCGGGTGCGTTCCAGAGCGGTAGCTGCTGGAACGCACGGTGATCGCTAAGAAACTTCCCCCCGCGTTCTGGGGCGGGAGGGTGTATGGCAGCGCATTGAGTTCAATGGCACGGCTTGCACCCCCACCCCCCCATTCCGCAGTGCGATTGGACGCGTAGCAAAACTTTGCCTGCATTCCGTTCCACTGCAAATGCAAAAAATAGGGCTTGTTCTCTTGAATTTAATGCACCGCCACGCCCCCTCCCGCCCCAGAATGCGCTGGGAAGTTTCTTAGCGATCCCGGTGCGTTCCAGCAGCTACCGCTGTGGAACGCACCCGCTTTCAGTGTGAACAAGCCCTTAAGGTTTAATTCCTGAGTTGGTCACTTTAAATTCGTTTTGCTGTCTGCATACCATTGGGGGAAATTTCACTTTGTTTCCTGTCTCAGAAGAGCAACAGGAATTGAGGAAAGCGCAAAAAAAAAAATGCAGCCATGCTGACAAAGTGACACTTCGTTCAGTTCTATTCACTGCTGCAGCACATTGCAATGGGGTGTAGTGTGCTGCAACAAGCTGCAGTGAAAATAATCTGCATGTGTTACTTCTTACCAGCACAACACAGTGGTATGAACGGACTTAATAGTAAACAAGACAAATTGCCTCGTCTATGTCTAAAAAAGGGGCAAATTGCCTTGCCCATCAAAGCCCAACACACCTAGTGTGAACTGCCCCATATAGCAGAACTCCTAGCAAAAGTGTTCTTAACCCTTGCAATGGGGCTACCCCTGCACTGCAAGGGTTAAGTGATCATTTTTGTTTAGGTGGCGCCAGCTGGCTGTTACTCCGATCCCTGAAAGCCCGTCCCCTACGCTGCAGCAATGGTTTGTCTCTTGGCGTACTCCCGTCCTATGCACTGTATAGAACATGATGACTCAAGGATCATTAGATTGCTGCAGCGGAGGGAGAGAAGAGGCTGCTAGACCGTTCTAAGAGCAACCTGGCTGAGGATCGAGTGAGTAGAACACCCTAGATAAAGACGATGACTTAACCCTTGCAGTGCAGGGGTAGTCCTGCTGCAAGGATTACGGTAAGAACACTTTTGCCCAGAGTTACCTGTCAGCAATTCATTGCAGTATAAACACACCTTATAGGATGCCACTACTTTACAAACAGTCAGTGCAGATGGTGACGTGATGGTCATGCACTAGTGACACAGGTAAAGCAAACCAGAGTCCGTAGGCGAGGTGAGACACTGCTTTTATGCTCACGGCTGACAACTATGATATACTTTCAATAGCACTAAAGCCAAACACATCTAGATTTAAAAAAAAAAAAAAAAAATCACTTAATTCCCCCATAAGGCTCTGTTCACACCTAGGCGTATCGAATATGCGCGATTCGTGGTAAAAAAACACGCGACAAACGCGCGTTTCCGAGAGCTACTTGGCTGTATCCCAATGGAAACGCGCGACAAAAACGCCGCAAAGAAGCTCATGTACCTTTTCAGGCGTAGGCCGTTTTGTAGCTCGTTCAGACGGGCTGAAATACGGCAAGGTGTGAACAATACCCATAGAAAACAATGGGATTTTCATGTTTGAGCGTTTTGTAGAGCGTTCGTAGAGCACTGAACGCGCTACAAAACGTACAGGTGTGGCCAGGCCTTAATGCTAAACAACATGGATGGGGTTTTATATGTCGGTAACATATGTCTGTATACTCAACCCGGTTTTCATATTAGTGCTGCTGCATGATTATGTATTTTTCAGTACAAATTTATAGCATTTTCATGCCTTTTTCTTTTTGTGCCAATGGCAAGCGATATCTACTGTGACATTATTAGGCCTAATCTTTCATTGAGGAGACTTTAAACACAAAAACGCACTAAAAAACACATGTACATGCATTTTTTAAACACTTCCATTGAAGTCAATAAGGCCAAAAACACACATTGGGGAATTGATCAAAACTGGAGCAGATAAAATCTGGAGAGGTTGCCCATGGCAACCAATCAGCTTTTCTCTTCAGTGTGTTTAGTTAAGATTTGAAAATGAAAGTGAGAAGCTGATTGGTTGCTGTGCACAGCTGCTCCAGATTTTGTCTGCTCAAGTTTTGATAAATTCCCCTCACCGTGTAGCACCAGTACCTTTCCAAAAATCGCACTGCACCGTGTTGCATTGATGGAAATGGCACCATTAAGAATAATGTAATTGCCATTGTCGTGCAGGACAGATTGCACTAGTGTGAACAGCCTCTGGGAAATTCACAATCTGGAGTTATGCAGCTACATATTACTTGTGCGCCTAATTCACTATTACTTCACCTGCTTTCTTCCGTCTTGCACCACACCAACCAAATTCACAAGTTTGTCTGTCCTTTTATCAGTGACAGCTGAAAGTCAGGTTCACAAAGCTGTTCGGACGCTTTTATAATGAACAGTTAATTGGAGTTTGATAAGGCCAACATAGAACCGGAGTTATCACATAGTCCCAATTTTAGCGGACAGGCTAGTGCGTTGTGGAAGCTCTGAACGCACACATTGTATTGAACACTATCGAAGCAGTCACAGTTTAATTTTGTTTTTGAACTTTATTGGTTGTTTACAATGTGTACACTCCATTCAGGTTCCTGCAAGGCAGCACGGTCCACTGCGCTGCCATGCGCCGCCCTGTGGTGTGATCCAGTGCGCTGCAATCCAATGCAGCATGTTTGTATTTTATCGCAGCACATCGCCCATCACACCTGTGTTGTGGTGTAAATGGGGCACATAGAAAAACAATAGTTTTGTATGTGTGCTTGTAGTGACCTGAGTTGATCACGTGCGGTACAATGCAGGTCGCCGCAGTATTTGTGAGCAGGCCCTTACTGGCCTAATATAGTAATAACAGTGAATATTGAACATTTGAAAGATAAATATGTACAGGATGACTTTTATTAATTCATCATTTAGGGCTAGTTCACACCATAACTGTGTGCGTCTTCGCAGCTTCAGTGGAGTTTGCCGCGTTCTAGTGCGATTTTGATACTTTTTTCAGCTTAAACTGGGCCTTGTGGGGCGTTTGCATGCGGTTTTGATGCGTTCCATTGCGATCAGGTGCAGCTAACACATAATATAAAAAAAGAATCAAATATGTCAATTGGACTTTTGACACCATAGACACATCCACACAAATGTTTTCATTAAGAAAAATCTATCTTTTATTTACAAAGTCTTTAAAAACATAAAAAAGTTTTTTTTTACAAAGTCTTTAAAAACATAAAACATTTCATCATATTCATTATAACCCACCCAGACAATATAAAGCATGAAGATGAACCTCTGTGCTCTATAGAACCCCAATTTTCATCATGTTCATTATAACCCACCCAGACAATGTAATACATAAAGATAATCCTCTGTGCTGTATAGAACCCCACATTAATACACCTGCTAATACCTGCTAATAATGTTCGACACATAATCGCATGGCTATAACACGTAGAATAATATCGTCCTTCCACACCTGAGAGTTGGAGTCCAAACTATTTTTATTCCATTAACATTTTTAAATAGAAATTCACATGTGTGTTTCAGGGGCTACCCCTTCATCAGGGCTCTATACATACATTCATATATACAGTATATATATA